TTTTATGTTGTTTATGTTGCAATAATTTCACATTCAATCTTCAAATTAATGTAGAAACAACAAAGACAGTATATTTGTTTTGATGTCTCTATGAAAATTGTTTTCTTTTTCATAATATTTAACCACTGACTAGCCATTCAACATTACAGTATAACTGAGAGCTGTCAATTTTAACATTCATTAGACTTTAAAAAATAACAACTTCTAATTTAAGTGAATTTAAAACAATCTTCACATAAACCCATTATAATATATGTCATATTCAGCTACATCTGCCCTTCAGCAAGCAGGAAATATACAGAAATTGATAAAGTTATCAAACACTAAATTCTAAAATAAATACAGATGAATCCTTAAAGCTACAGAAATGATTGATTTTCTCTTTTTTCTTTTGTTCTTTGATGAACAGCATCACAGCAGCTGGTTATGATGCTTTAAGAGCTGCTGCTGCTGAACGTTATGAAGTTTCTCATAACTCTTTACCTTTTCTGACTCTCTTCAGCTCTTAAAGTCTCTGTAATGAGCTGACGAGTTGAATCGGGTGTGTTAGACGAGGGAGACAGTGCTGCTGCTCCAGGACGGTTTGGAAAACCATTTCAGGATACAGTTCTTAAATCTGACTCATATAATAACAAATACTTATGCATGCACAGTTTTAAGGCAGCTTTTTTGGTAACTTCATGACTTAACTGACGACATAACTGCAACATTGCATGCTCATAGTTTCTTTCGCACTTTGAAATGAAAAGATACAGGCTACAGTGTGCGCCACATCTGTGAGTGCAATTGAAGAATCTTATTTTTTCAAGTGTTATTTATTCCAAAATATTCCTCAACAATCTTCTGTGTGTTTTAGGTTTTAGTGTGGTTTGAGTCTCAGCTGATTTAAAGCTCAAGCGGCACACAGATCTCCTTCAGCACGTGCAAAGCCCATAAAGCTGCAGCCACCGCCAAGAACCCCACTTACTGAACCTGTACGAGCCAAAACATATAAAACACTCTCCACTTAACACCCATGAAACGTGCAGCAGCATGAGAAAGCGTACGTGCGTCGCCGGGCCTGATGGGAAGAATGAAGCTGATTGGCTGCTGAGAGACTCAAGGACATTCAGGCCAAAAGCTGATGGATTTAAACGCAGACTATATTCATAATAAAACACAAGCTCATGTTCAGTTCTGCAGAAGAAGCTCCTGCATTATTGATTCAACTTTTATTTTTAGCCAAACTCTGGAGGAGGGACGAAACATTATATAAAACTCCCCCTGCGTGATTCATTATTCACATCACTTTAACATTTAAAGAGAGTTGAGAGTTGTTTTGATCACATAGAGGAAAATTTAAGTATCACTCATCGTTAAGATCACAGAAAAACCTGCATCTGTGTGTGTGTCTCTGAAAAAATAAATAAAATAAAAATGAATAAAATAAAATACAAGTAAAATCAATAAATACAAATAAAATGTATTAAATAAATTAAAATAAATAAATAAACAATTATAAAGTGATACAACTAATAAAGTTAAAATAAAAAATAAAAAATTAATAAAACCTATACAGAAATATATTTAAAAATATAATATATATATAAATAAAACTAAATGATGTGTGTGTGTTTCTGAACCACTGGGGTTTCTGGATAAACTACTGAGTTTGTGTATCTTTATAAACACACACACACACACTCTCTCACACACATAAACACACACACACACACAAGTCACGACAAACACACACTCTCTCACACACATAAACACACACACACACACAAGTCACGACAAACACACACTCTCTCACACACATAAACACACACACACACACAAGTCACGACAAACACACACTCTCTCACACACATAAACACACACACACACACAAGTCACGACAAACACACACACTCTCTCTCTCACATACATAAAGACACACACTCTCTCTCTCACACACACACACACTCTCTCTCACACACACACACAAAAGAATATTGTAATGAAAAGTAAATAAAAAAATTAATACAAATAAATAATTAAACAAAGAAACAAAATAAAAATAGATAAATGTACATTCACCTCCTCTCAGTTGTATAATATTCTAAAATGTTTTATCTATTTTTTTTTTTCCTGAATCTCTATTGGTACAACATGCCACTATCCAAAACGAAAAACAAATAAACAAATAAAATAAATAATAAATTAAATAAATAAAAACAAATAATCAAATTGTAAACACTTCTCAGTTGGATATTTTCAAAATGGTGTCTATTTATGAGCATGGTTCAAAAACAAAAAGTAAAATAAATAAATAAAAAACAATAAACACATTTTAAACTATATTCAGTGGTATAATATTCTGAAATGTTTTGTCTATTTTTTATTTAGTTTCCTGAATCTCTATTGGTATAGCATGCTACTATCTAAAATGAATAGTAAAATAAATAAATAAATAAAACTAAATAAATTAATATAAATAAAATGCATATAAATAAATACATAAACACATTTTAAAACAAAAGGTAAAAACGTTAGTTAATTAATTAATTAAAATATAGAAACAAACAAATAAATATGTGTGTATCTACAGTATAATGTTCTGAGATGTTATTTGATGCACTGTAAGATGCTTTATACACAAGTGCACGGTAAACGCACAAATGTAAAGGTTTGAGGAAGACCTCGGCTGGGTCTGGACGGTGGGAAATGAGTTTGTTGTGTGGGTGGAAGAAGATAACGATGCTCGATGACACTGAGGCGATGAAGGAGGATTCAAGAGTAAACCGCTCACAGGAAAACTCTTAAAAACCCCTCACTCCAGACCACAAACCTCACAAAACCCATCACAACTTCACACAAACGTCAAGATTTCACAATAGACCACATCAGGCTCATGAAGAAGATCTGAACGAGTGTCTAATGAAATAACGGTCTCACCTCGGCTAGTTTGTACGGCACAATCAATCTCTCGCCCACCGTTACCGTCTTTCGTGTGGTCAGAGCCTCGAAAAGCATCTCCTCCTTCACCTGCACACAAACCATGAGAAATGCACATGTTTAGCATTAAACCACCTCATTCAAGACGTTTATGCGGAGAGTTTTGCAGCTACAGCGACTCAAAAACCATTTGACTCTGTAATATGAATCTGTGTTTTTCAACATAAGCACACTTTCCAATGGGACATTTCAAGAAAAACCCACAGACAGATGCGGACACACGTTAGCCCGCCTTAGCGTGCAAGTGTTTCCCTATAAAAGCCTCGAATGCATATAAACGTCCATTTTATCCTATTAGATCACATAAACTCATGTGTTTTACTGCTGCGTGTGTGTGTTTGTGTGATAGATTAACACTGCAAAACTCTTTGCACCAATGTGAACAGACACGACTAAAACATCGTAAAAAGAAAACACAAACGAGGAAACTAAAGGTCATAAAGCAGAAAAACCTTCAGTCTTCAGGCCGAAGACTCGCTGCAGTCAGAGTAAATCAAACAAATAAATTACTGGACGACGTTCATCAACAGTGCTGTTACTGTGAAACTAAGCTAAAACTAGTAAAAATTTGTTTTGTAAAATAAAATAAAAAAATAATAAAATTTAATAAAATTAAAAAATAAAAATTAAATTAAAAATTAAATTAAATAAAGTGAAATAAAATAAAAATATTAGACTGGAAAACTTATTAAAAACATAAATGAAACTTGATAAAGTAATACAACTGATAAAATAAAAATTTATAAAAAAAACTATAGAAATATTTAAAAAACAAGAATTACTAAAAATGAAAAAACACATTGAAATTAATACTTTAACAAATTAAAATTAAAATGGAAAATGCAAAAATAGAAATGGATTATGTGACAAATGATAAAGTTGTAAAATAAAAATTAATTAAAAAAATACAAAAATATTTTTTAAAGTGACAAAAAACAACAAAAATTACAATTAAGTTAAAATGAAAAAGCATATAAAATTTCTAAAAAAGCTTAAACTAAAATTAAAATGAAAACTGAAAAAAAACTAATTCAAAATGTGAATAAATTCTATAATATATAAATTATACTAAAATAGTATTATTTTTAATTCAAAATATGAATAAATTCTATAATAATATATAAATGATACTGAATTAGCATTATTTTTATGAAAAAGAATTAGTTAAGCTCAACCAAATGCTTTATAGAAGCAGGTGGAAACTATTGGAGCATCAGAGAGTCATAATGACGCACATTTCCATCATCAAATAATGATTCAGTCCTCAATGAAAGAGAAATGAGATTTGACTGTGGGCGGAGCTACAGCGCAACAAAATTCAAAAACTCATGAACAACAAAATCACTGAATCATTAATCGCAAATAAGATACAGCAAAATAAAATGAAACAAAATGCAATGAAATAACAATAAATAAAGCAAAATAAAATGAAACAAAAATGAAATAAAATAAAAATGTAAAATGCTAAAAAATTTATCAAATTAAAAAAAAAAAAAAAAAAATGTAAAATGCTAAAAAATTTATCAAATAAAAAAAATAAAAATAAAAATGTAAAATGCTAAAAATTTATAAAATAAAATGAAACAAAATAAAGTTAAAATTAAATTAACAAATAAAACAAAATAATAAAACAAAATTAAGTAATAATCTAAACTAAAAAAAAAAAAAAACGATGAATCACTGCATGTGATTCCAAAGGGAAAAAGTAGTTTGGTGGGTTGCAAATGTTGACTTTATGGTCTCACCTCCAGCAGTTCAGAGACGATAGGAAGCACCTCTGGGTTACAGATATCGATGGAGTCGTCTCTGTACGTCTTCTTCTTGTAACGGATATTGCCCAGGAGAAGGATCGCAGACAGTAAAGAGAAGATTCTGCGGAGAACAAAACCTGAGTCAAATCTCACAATAAAGCGAGCAGAAAACTGACAAATCCATCCAAACCCCGCCCCTTAATGTCACGTCAGCCAATCAGATGTCGGCAAACCTGAATGCAGGAAATGACTGACAGGCGTTTCAGAGCGTTTTAAGCGAGCGCTGTGGTTTTATCGTGAGCTCGGTCAGGTTTTCAGGCTGTAACTCACTGTTTTCTGGTGGCCGGCAGGAATCCCACCATCTCCATGGCCAGCTGCAGTCGCTCGAAGTCATGCTTCAGATCTTCACCTTCCACCGTGAAACAGTCCTGAGCCGATCACAACAAACTGAGTGTTAATGAACCCTCAAACAGACCCACATTTAACCTTTATCTCATGTTCATACTCATACAGGTTTGAAACGAGCCAATGATGACAGAAGATTTGTTTTTGCATGAATTATCCCTTTAATAAAGTGCAATAAAATAAGCGTTATCTGAAATAAAATATTAAAAAGTACATTAAAATTATATTTAAATGTATCAAAATTAATTATTTTTAATTATATTGTTTATGATTACTATTAAAATGATAATTATCATTAAATAATTATTATAATATATCATACAGGAATTTTTTTTTTTGCATGAATTATCCCTTTAATAAAGTGCATGTAACAGGGTTATTAGAGTTAAATAAAACTAAAACCATAAAAATAAAAAAATTAATAAAAATTATTTGCTACTTGAACTAAAATTTTAACTGAAATAAAATAAAATGTATAAAAAAATAAAATTATCTTAAACATATATTACAATTATTTTAATTAATTATTAATATAATTGTTTATGGTTATTATTAAAATTTTAATTCTTATTAAATAATGACAACTTCAGCTAGTTGCCAAGGCAACATTTCTCGTTTTCATTTAGCTTAACTTTATTTGAAATACAAATTTATAAAACACTATATAAACATTAAAAAATAAACACACAAAAAACTTGTGTCACTAAAGTTATAAAAACACAATGAAATTACTAAAACTTTAACTAAAATTATAAATAAATAAAAAAAAATAAAAAATATAAAAAAAATAAAAAATAAAAAAAATAAAAAATAAAATATATAGAAATAAAACCATTTAAAATACTAATAAAAACTCTGATAGTATCTCAGTAATACTAAAATAACGCGGGTAGGTAAGCAGTTTAATAGCACGGACAGAAACAGAAGTGTGCAGAGGAAGTGAGGCGGCGAGAGACACACGACTTCCTGTCGACCCTAGCAACAGCCTGATGTTAGTGTTCGGATCACTGTGAGGGGTGTTACACGCCCACACACAGCTCAGAACCACTGTGAGGGGTGTTACACGCCCACAAACAGCTCAGAACCAATCGCTGACAGTTACACCAGCTTCTCAAACGGCCGATCCCATTAAAACGGATGCTCTGGGAACAAAAGAGTGTCTCTGGATGGCACTGATCATATATAAAACTATTAAAACAAGCAAAACTGTGCTGAGAGAGACCCAACAAGAACAAAACAATGCAAACAAGAGCAACCTAGAATCCAGGCAAAAATTCTTGTTGGTCTGATTGCTTCTATTATTCATCTGTAAGTGGCTTTGGATAAATGATTAAATAGTATATTAATAATCAGCATTTCTCTCACTTCGCCACCTGGGACGGAGTTGTGTTGCAGTGCATTATGGGATTGTGTTCTCCGTGAAGAATATACGCAACACTGCCTTTGATTCAGTGTTATTTGAGTATCTTATATACTATTACAGTTTTTGTTAATATTTTGAATCAGAATTAAATCAATATTAGATATTTTGAAATTTTTTCAGTTTTCACTTTAATTTTAGTTAAAGTTTTAGTAATTTTTTGTTGTGTTTTTGTCATTTGTAGTAGTTTTTTTTTTTTTTTAGTAAGTTAAACTAAATGGAAATGAGAAATGTTGCCTTGGTAATGAGCTGAAGTTTAATTTTATTTTATTTCAGCTAATGATTTTTTAAGCTAACAATAATACCTCAGGTGATGTGTTTTTTTTATATATTATTATAGTTATTGTCAATATTTTGAAATAGACTTTGTTTTCACTTTAATTTTAGTTAAACTTTTAGTAATTTTGTTTTTGTAATTTTCATTATTTTTTAAAGATGTCCATATAGTATTTATTAATATTTATTTTAGAAATATTGAATATTAGGTTTCAGTAATAATATTTAGTTTATTAATTAGTTTTAGTTTTAGTTATTTTAGTACTTCAACCTAAACTAAACAAAAATAAGAAATGTTGCCTTGGCAACAAGCTAAAATAAAATAAGTTTACGTTTTTTAACAAATACGTTTTTTTTTTTTTTTTTCATTTTTTTATATTTAAGTTTTAAAATAATAATAATAATAATAATTAGTAGTAGTAGTAGAAACTATAATAACCCTGTTTTGGGGCAAAAGAATGCACAGGATCACATATGAAGTCTTGGAATGCTGTCTAGGTAGGCAGCGCACTGGGTTTTGGAGCAGAGCCGTTTATTTGCGCGACTGACTGACTCTGGTGAATCTGGTGCTGTGTGTCTACAAGATCCACAAGTCAATTAAGACGTCTCAAATCGAGTCAAAGCGACCGTCTCCCATTAAGCACTTGATTAAACGCTGCTAATTAGATTTGGTCGTTTACTCACACCGGCACAAATAATACAGCAGAAGAGACAAGAAGAAAGCAAACGGGAGAAGATCTACGTGAACAAGCACTCACTCACACTCTCACACACACAC